ATATTGCAATGTCAGATTTTTTTTTATATCGTGCAGCCCTAGAACTATGCTAGCATTCTACCACTACCCTCCTGCCTGTCTGGCTTGCTGGAAAGTTCCACAATCTGAAATATTGTTATTATTATTTTTATTATTTTCTTTTTATCTGTGTTAAAGATCCCCTTTTATGGGTTTTTGAAAATTACCACCTATCCAGTGTGTAGCACAGCTATAAGTGAAAGGAAAGATCCAGCTGAAATTGAAATCTGAAAGTGCAAACTGTTGATTCTATTTAGTCGACTCAGAGTCAAATGAATGATTTGTCTATTGTTTTGATCTTTTGCTTGCACGCTTTGACGTCAATACAGGACATTGCCAAATATGAACTGCCAGATCCAGTATAACTTGAACGCTCCTTTACCTTTAGACACTAGTGGAGTGAGAGGGATCATGCTTGATCATGACGCGAAGGTTGCTATCACTGAAAGATGGCCAGCATGCGCTGTGGGGAATAAGGGGTTGAAGTTAATTTTCACAACAACACCACAGTATAGCCAACTGTGTGTTTGCTACTGTAATTTTTAAAAGATTGATACAATAACCCACCCTGCAGCGCAGGATTTGCAGGCCATTTGTTAGGAAGGATTAAATAAAGGATCCGCAAAGACTATTAAAGTATGGAAATTTGTAACTGTACACAGTTTGTATGAACCAGTTTCTTTTTCCTCCAGATCCTGTAAGTGTTTCTCCTTCCCACACAATGTGAAGTGTGATTAAAATGGTTGGCTTGTTTTCTGTAGTTTGCAAAATATGTATTTAATTGTGTGTTGTAACTTGTAATCGCTCTGTGTGTGGCTTGTATCTATTATAGATCAGTGCTTGTACTTTATCTCTCAGGTTAAAACTCTATGGGCTTTTGCATATTGCATCCAAAACCACATTAAAAACGCAACGCCGGCTTCTTCCTCTACTGATTTAAATGCGTTTTGTGCTCGCGATCCTCTGCTCTTTGTCTTTGCTATATGGCCACCATCAGCTGTTCCTCACATGTGCCGTGCAGGCAATTATCAAAACAGTTTAACTTTTGCCACTGTGTGAATTACTACTGAATGTGTGTCGTTATTACTTGTGGTTATGGTATATAGAATAGAGTAATATGCTGGTGTTTAGCTTCATTGCTTTAATGCATTCCTGCATTGGGTTCTCATGCTCTCTGAGTACTTGGCGTTTCTCTCCGTCTCGCGCTAAACGCAGTCAAATAATCAGACTGGGTCATCAGACCAATCAGCACAGATTAGCCTCATGCAACGGAAGGGCTTGGGAACAAATGAATCCTTGAACGAATAATATGGCAGTTGTTGGGATAAATAGGTAAAAATAAATCCATATTAAGACAATGTTTTGACCATCCATGCATATAAACCTGTTGTTGCAGACCACCAAAACCAAAATATGACCTTTTTTAATTCATAATAGGGGCTCTGTAAGCTGCTTTGACACACTCTGCATTGTAAAAAGTGCTATAGAAATAAAGATGAATTGAATAGATGTTATCTGGCTTCAGAGCGCTGATGATGGGAAGAGGGTTTGCAGTTGTGTTGACTGGAGCAAATCTCCATGCTGTGAAAGAATGTGGAGCGGCGAATTCACTCCGAGCATGAACTCTGTCTTTTTTTAAGGGCTATTCAGTCCAGTTCAAGCTCTGGTAGAGAATCAGGAATGTACTTAACAGTCACACCTCTTTTTTCCCTTTTAAAACCTGTAACACTTTTCAATAAGGTTTCACAAATACTTATTGATAGTTATGCATTTACTAACATGAATGAAGAATGAACAACAGTTGTACAGAATTTACTAATCATAGTTAAACATTTACTACTGCATTATAAAAAAGCAAGTTAACATTAGTTAATGCCTTGTGAATTAACAAGAGCTAACAACGAATGACTTCACTTTCTTTAACTAATTTTAACAAGGGTGGCACAGTGGCTCAGTGGTTAGCACTGTCACCTCACAGCAAGAAGGTTGCTGGTTCGAGTCCGGGCTGGGCCAGTTGGCATTTCTGTGTAGAGTTTGCATTTTCTCCCTGTGTTCGTGTGGGTTTTTCTCCATTTGCTTTGGTTTCCAAAAGACATGCACTATAAGTGAATTGAATGAATTAAATTAGTCATAGTGTATGAGTGTGTGTGTGTACATGTGAGTGTGTATGGGTGTTTCCCAGTACTAGGTTGTGACTGAAAGGGCATCTGCTGTGTAAAACATATGCTAGAATAGTTATTGGTTAACAGGGGCTGTGGACTATGCTAAAGGAAAATGAATGAATGAATGAATGAATGAATGAATGAATGAATACTGTTAGCAATGATAAAATGCATTGTTTATTTTTAGTTGATGTTAACATATAGTATATGACAGAAATGTGTATGTCCACATATATGCCAGAAGCCATTATGTCCACATATATGTCAGAAACATATAGTGTATGTCGCATATACAGTTGAAGTCTAATAAACATTAAATATTTCCCAAATGATGTTTAACAGAGCAAGGAAATTTTCACAGTATGTCTGATAATGTTTTCTCTTCTGGAGAAAGTCTTATTTAGTTATTTTGGCTAGAATGAAAGCAGTTTTTAATTTCTTAAAAACCATTTTAGGGGCAAAATTATTATCCCCTTTATAAGCTAATTTTTTTTGCAATAGTCTACAGAACAAACCATCGTTATATAATAACTTGCCTAATTACACTAACCTGCATAATTAACCTAATTAACGTAGTTAAGCCTTTAAATGTCACTTTAAGCTGTATAGGATTGTCTTAAAAATATCTAGTTAAATATTATTTATTGTCCTCATGGCAACGATAAAATAAATAAGTTATTAGAAATGAGTGATTAAAAATATTATGATTAGAAATGAGTTATAAAAAATCTTCTCGGTTAAACAGAAATTGGGGGAAAAAATAAACAGGGGCGCTAATAATTCAGGGGGGCTAATAATTCTGACTTCAACTGTATGTCAGAAACATATATGTCAACATATATGCTAGAAACATGTGTCCACATATTTGCCAGAAAAATATGTCCCAAATCATTGACTAACATTAACTAATGGAACCTTATCATATTTATTAACCATTTTTAACTACCAGTCATCATTAGCCTTTTTAAATGTCCATTAATATTAATTACCATTAATACCATTGTAATGATTAGAATTTCATTTGAATTATTTCATTTTATTGTAATAAAGTTCATTTGGATTTATAACTCATGGTTAATCAAAGACAGTCCACATTTCTTACAAAAGAACATGACAACTTAAGCAACAACATAAATACTTTTTTTTTGCTTTTTAGTTTTAAATACATAAACTTACTGATGCAATCAATGCTTTGTGCAGCATTTTTTGTCAATGGCTGTACATGCGGTGTATATTATGTTTATCGCAAAAGTGTTTCAGATATGCGCAAAAATCTAAATAAAATAATATAATTCATGAATTCATTTACAGCTATTTTGACTCCTAAAAGTGACTATTAAAAATAAATTATATGCTTATCTCTCAAGTTAGCTTAATTATTTAAATTGATTAGGATGATTTTGTGGGGGAGTGCATAAAACATAATCAAGATATAAGTGGAGATAATTAGAGCAAATATACAAATGATACAGAAATAAAGAAATCAAATGTACAATAAAGCTGTATATTTCTTATTGTGCAAATAATTAATGACGACTAATCTTTATTAAAGCTATAAATATAATTTTCTCTGAGCCCAATTGCTTGAAACTTGCACAAAGTGTTTAAACAGGCCTTAAAACCCCAATCATTTGATACACTTTCACTTTATGTTTATATATTATGGTTAAACTAAAAATTACAAAATTCTTGTGTGTTGAAAAATGATGATCCTGACTTCACATTGCACGTCCTGCAATGTGACTATTGCGCTTTCACACATTGCGATATTGATGCTGAAACGATATATTGTGCAGCCCTGGTTATGAAGGTTAAACGTATCACAGTTTCTAAACAAAGATATTAAGGTAAAAAATTTATATAAGGTAAAAAATCATTATGCTTGACCATTAAGCATTATACTAAGTGAACCGGCTGTTACCTTAAAAAAGTTACAACCATAATCAAAGCTAGCTATAATTTAGACTATTCCTTCAGCAAATTGAACCTAAAAACATGGTATGTGCAAATAAACAAAACTTTCACTTGCACAATTCATTCTTACTAAATTCCTCCCTCAGCCTGCCCTTTTCCCCCCAGCTCAGTCTATTGTAGCAAAGCACCCCACCACACAGCCAGGCTTAACATAGCTTTGAAAAGTCTGTATAAAAAGCTCAGCGTGTTCTACCAACAATTTTGCCCTCTTTACTCTTAGTGAAGTCTTTTCTCCAAGCTTGCACAAACCTGCATAAGAGGTTTATAATCCATTACAATCTGGTAAACACACATGCAATCAATGATTAAGAAATAAAATATGACAAAAACACCAATCTAGCAGTTCATGACCTGCACACGTCATTTGATATCCTGTTATAAAGTATGTGTGGTCATTGCTGCTGACATTGACTCCCTTATGATGGCATCATTTTTGTATAACATCAGTCTTCATGTTTGTGACTGTAGCCTATGACCTGCCGGTGCTCTCACATCTTAAGTATGCGCAAGCCAGCACATATGTTTAGTTTGGAAGTTCATTGAGTAATATGTTGATTTTGGTTCATGTTTTGGATGAGATATCAAAAAAGTATATGATTCAGTGCCGGGAAGTATTAATCACTGGCACGAATATGAGAACAACCCAGGGACGATGCATTAGGAGTGAATTACAGTATGCATAACTCTGCTTTTGGAGGTCTGACACTGCAGATATGTAATATGTAGCAGGTGTGCTGGACTGACTGGAAAGAAAAACTCATTTTAAAGTTGTGTGTAACTCATTTTAATGTGTGTGTGTGTGTGTGTGTGTGTGTGTGTGTGTGTGTGTGTGTGTGTGTGTCATAGGTGTGTTGGACGATGAAGATGTGCTTCTGATGCTGCAGGGGTCGAAGATGATGAAGGTTCGATCTCAGCGTTGGCGGAAGGACAGGCGCCTGAAGCTTCTGGAGGACTGTGTTACGGTGTGGTGTGAGTCCAGCAAAACATCCCGCAAGAGCAACAGACAGCAGACCTGTGAGTAAATCTTCAGCTGCCTAAAAAATCCATTCATTCATTTACTTTCCTTCGGCTTAGTCTCTATTTCAGAGATCACCACAGCAGAATGAACCGCCAACTATTCCAGCATATATTTTACCTTCCAGCTGCAACCGAGTACTGGAAAACACCTATGCGCTCTCGTTCACACACATGCACCACGGACAATTTAGTTTATTCAATTCACCTATAGGGCATGTGTTTGGGCTGTGGGGGAAAACCGAAGCACCTGGAGGAAAGCCACACCAACACGGGGAGAACATGCAAACTCCATACAGAAATGCCAAGTAACCCAGCCGGGACTCGAATCAGCGACCTTTTTGCTGTGAGGTTAAAGTGCTAACCACTGAGCCGCTGTGCTACCTATACAAAATACAATTATACAAATGAGAAAATGTAACTATAGGTTTGTTTCACTTGGCATCATTGATGATGTGCAAAATTCAGATGGAGGGCAGGAAGGGATTCTTCTACATGGGGATCACTACCAGAACATCAAAATGTTTATGCTATGTGTTTACAATACTTTAAATCGGCCCAAATGAGAAATGCCAAAGAGCTTTAATAGAGTTCCAAAAGTTTTTGCTTTAAAAGGGGAAGCCGAGGCAAATATATATGTAGTTCAGTAGAAAATTCAGTCCTCTTCATAGAATAAGGATCATTTCTATGTCTTTCAAAATATGGCATAAATCACAAAAATATGGACTTTCCTCTGTCTTTCGTTCAGTTTTTTATTTCCTGCCCTCCATCTGATTTTCGGGCAGAATCAGGTGATTGCAAACAACCTATTAGCGCAAAGGTTTGTAAATCATGTGACAAGCTAAGAAAACATTACTCAGACCAGGTCAATTTGGTATGTAGAATGTCATTTAAAGTCCACGTGAAATCCTATACCGTGTGAAACTATGCGTGAAATAGTTATAAAAACAAATACTATGGAAGTCAGTGGTAACATGTTTTCAACATTTTTCGAAATATCTGTTTTATATGCATGTTTAATGGCCAAAAGAAACTCAAGCAGGTTGATAAGGAGAGTAAATGATAGCACATTTTTTTGGCGTGAAAAAATTATTCTTTCATGAATGGAGAATCACCAGTTCCCTGGTAAAATATAGCATGCTTGTAATAAACTATGGATGTTTGAAAATGTTGCAATACAAGTTTTAGTTCAACAAGGCAAAGCACTGATTTGTTAGGGGCTAAATAATACTGCTTTAATTTAGATTCTACACACAAAAGTCATGGAAGAACATTGCACCTGAACTTTTCATATGGAAACACATACACATTCTACTGTTAAACAGGTGTGTAGGATTTTGCGTTTTTGACCTTTTTGTTTTCTGACCTCATTCTGACCTTCTAGTATATAGTAGGGTATTTGGCTTTAAGTCAAAACAAATGATTAATAATAGTATGTTTGCTCTGCTCTCTTTGAGTGCCTATTGTTAACCTCATCCCAAAGGACACAGCAGGCGTACAGTATGATGTACGCTGGATGACGTTCATTCTTAGTAAATGAACAGCACCGATTTTAACATGGTGGGTGGATTTGGCTTAGTGTAATGAACTGTAGCAGTGACCCAATTGATCTCAGGTCAGTCAAGTTACAGATTTTCAATTAATTTAAATAAAAAAAAGCCTGAATCCTGCATGAGGTATACTGAAGCTGCTTAAAGGTTGTGTGATGATTACTCTTGCTACATGTAATTTATATGGGTCTCATTTTTTACAATTTCAAATTTAATTGCACGATATGCTGATTAATCATCATAATTCTGTTTGTTATTTGTATTCACTTTAAGCGTGTAAAAAAAAAAATCTTGAACTTGTATTTCAGTGTATTTCATATTGCTTATGCTTGAAAAAATATCAAAGTAATGCAATTGAGCAAACCCAACTCAACTCTCTGATACTGGGGTTTAATTATGTACTGGGGCAATTTAAAATGTTCACTGTTTTCCAGTTTTATTTACACTGTAATGGTTGTTGTTTTTGTTAGGTGTTTTATAACATCTAGAGTTGATTTTCTTTTCAAAATAATATGATCATAGTCAAAGTCTTTTCCTTACTGGGTTGTGTCTGGTAAGGCATCCGCTGTGTGATACGTATGCTTGAGTAGTTGGTGGTTCATTTCACTGTGGCAATCTCTGAATCTCTGGATGCAGATCTGGTGCAGTGCAATCTGAGCTGCAGTCAATGCTTTTTAATGCCCTCACCTAACCCCACCCCTAACCCTACCCGTCACAGTGACGTCAATCACTCCATTGAGTGCATTGTGTCTGACATTGCATTACTGAGTGATGCATTCTCAGCTTGCATCATAAAGGCTGCATCCAGATGCTATTGGTAGGTCTACAGCACAGAGAATACTACCGGCCTCTGAACAAGCTGAGAGACGATCATGTGAGCTCTACTGGTGCTCCTATTGGCTGTCACTCAAGAAAGTCGCTCTTCATTAACATAGAGTTGAAGGGTTCTCAACTTTGTTGCATCACTCAACATGCCCACCTGGTCAAGATCAGATATGGTTGCGGCCGGAATTTAACGAAAATGATTTATATTATTTAATAAATTTCCCATTAATTGTATTTTATTAGCATCTTCTCCTACCCCAACCGTCACAGTAATGTAAAAACAGTAGTTGTACCGAGTATTATTTATGTTATCTATTAGATTACCCAATAAATTATATATTTTTAACATCTACCACTACCCCAAACGTCACAGTACTGTGAAATATTAATTGTTATACAGTGTCATAAAAAATGCTGCTATATTGATGTGGATATCACCAACCGTGTATTCTATCTAGACTTTACCTGCTAGCGGTCGCTGTCGCTCACTCTGTTGAAATGAACAGTCGCTTGTTTCTTTGTCGCTGCGAGTCACTTGTAGTGTGATTAAGCCAATATAAAAAGAAAGAAAGAAAGAAAGAAAGAAAGAAAGAAAGAAAGAAAGAAAGAAAGAAAGAAAGAAAGAAAGAAAAAATAAGAAAGAAAGAAAAAAATAAGAAAGAAAGAAAGAAAGAAAGAAGGAAAGAAAGAAAGAAAGAAAGAAAGAAAGAAAGAAAGAGAAAGAAAGAAAGAAAGAAAGAAAGAAAGAAAGAAAGAAAGAAAGAAAGAAAGAAAGAAAAAAAAATAAGAAAGAAAGAAAAAAATAAGAAAGAAAGAAAGAAAGAAGGAAAGAAAGAAAAAAATAAGAAAGAAAGAAAGAAAGAAAGAAAAAGAAAGAAAGAAAGAAAGAAAGAAAGAAAAAAAGAAAGAAAGAAAGAAAGAAAGAAAGAAAGAAAGAAAGAAAGAAAGAAAGAAAGAAAGAAAGAAAGAAAGAAAGAAAGAAAGAAAGAAATCAATGTGTATTGTGTACCAAGTACTGTGGTTAGTTAATGTACTCTATGTTTGTTTGGATGGACTACTGTAATAGTTGTAGTAAGAAATCAATTTGTTGTTTTCTTGTATACATATTTAGAGTAAAGCAAATCAAGGTTAATTTGGTTTAACTAATGGTTTAAAAACATTGTTTGAAATGTAATGTTCATATAAAAGGATCAGCAAATTGTTCATGAAAAAAGTATTTAAGACACAGAATTGCATAAGGTAAACGTTTAATAGATGTTTATTGAGTATAAGAAATTAAATTGTTCTTTAATACTTAAAATAAATTTTTGGTTTGTGGTGGGAAAAAAACAAACATTTTTTGAGTATATCATCAAATGTCAATTATAAAGTTAACATTAGAAGTCAGTATAAAATAATTTTTTCAATTTTAAAATAGGAATGCTTGGAGCTCTGTAAAATGACCAAATAAGGATAATAATATCATTATTATTAACATATAATAATAATAATAATATTAACGATAATAATAATATTATATTATTATATAATATATTATTAATATTATGTGGTGTCACGGTGGCTCAGTGTCTGCCTCACAGCAAGAAGGTTGCTGGTTGAGTCCCTGTTGGGTCAGTTGGCATTTCTGTGTAGATTTTGCATGTTCTCCTCGTGTTCGCTTGGGTTCCTCCAGGTGCTCTGGTTTCCCCCACAGTCCAAAGACATGCGCTGTAGGTGAATTGAATGAATACTAATTATTATTGTTTTATCTATCTAATCTAATAATTTATATATCTAAAGTGTAACTGTTTTTCACAAAAAGTTTTTTTTGTTATAATAGAAAAAATAAAACAAGACTTAAGTTATATTTTAACAAGACTAAATAAATTTAATAATACTATTATGGTATTTTTTAAAAGCTTGTCTTCATCAAAGAGCATAGAATCACCAAAAGGCGACACGCTAGTGCGATTTAGGAAACAGCCACTAGATGACGCGGCGGCCATTTTGGAATGAAAATTCCAATTGAACAACAGCATATTATAAGTCTGTAAAATAAACTATTAAAAGTGTTGATAATTGTGATAGTAAGTGTTGTATTGTTGTCTTTCAGGTTGTATCTCAGCTTTAATGCGCTTTTTAAATAAATAAATAAAAAACAAAGCACCTGCTTGCCATTGCGACAGCAATAAGATCCAATGGACAGCCAACCGCTTTCACTCCAAAATGGCGGAATCCAGGGCTGTTGATGGGCAATGCTGTTGACTTTATCCTCTATTATTATGTGGACTTTTTAAAGGTAAACCAATATATATTGTATAAAATACATTTTCCTTTGTGATCCAAAGTTGAATGGAGGACATACAACTCTGAAAAAACACCAGGGTGAATGTTTTGATTAGGATCTAGTTTAATGTTTTATCCTTAGTAAACCAATTCCCCATTGACCACTCTGTGATGTATTGGTTTGTCAGGTTTTCCAATCAATGCAACAGCAAACAGAAAACCCATAAAGTTTTATGTGCGTCTCTGCTCATTAAACCCTGCCCGTATGTGTCTGCATATTCAGACTTGTGTCTCCCCAGTTTAATTTTCTATAGTTTTGTTTGGCTTGTTTCACAAGCTCAAACAAAGCCAGGAAATTAA